GAACTTCCGGACCGAGAAATTACATTTCCTTCCCGCAACCTTCAACCTCGCATTCCCCTCAAACCGCGCGCTCTTACGAAGTCGGAATTAACGATATCTAGGTCTCTTCTTTGAACCCGTTGCAGGCCTGATGTCCCCGGAGTTACTGAGAGCCGAGAAGCTTAAGTTCTTGGCGTCAAGAAACACTCTGATCTTGAAGCTCGAGCACTTTGTTCGTCTACTTTAACACGAATTATCTTGAATGCCACCTCTCGCCTTTCACCCTTCCTCTCCCTCCTGATACTCTGTACCTCTCCTTCTCATCTTCACGCCATCGGGTATGGTGTAACGGCTAACATTGCCGCCTCTCATCGGGATTTGGTGCAAGTTGTGCGCGGCAGCTCGGGGTTCGATTCCCCGTACCCGAATGTGCTGGGTCCTCAGTCGCTTTTTCTTTCCTTGTTGCTGCTTTTGATGTCAGAGATTAAGCTAGCAACATCCATAACAGATTAGTCAATACGCCACCACAGCCCACAATCTTACTTCTCCCTCTACGTCCTCTCTGCCCTCGATCACACTCCTCCACGTCCTCTTCCAACACCGGACATACTTCCTTTTCGTAAATTCCTTTCAAATGCCCTGCCAAAGAAGTCTCTCATCGGGTATGGTGTAACGGCTAACATTGCCGCCTCTCATTCAGAACAATTGTTCAAGTGCGCGGCAGCTCGGGGTTCGATTCCCCGTACCCGAATCCAGCTCTGGCCTCACTCATTTTTGGTATTGTTCAAGTAGAGTCTACAAGCCACCCTTCAGCACAGCTCGTTTAGCTGTGTCCTACAACGTTACATACGGATTGAATCAATCACTTCGAACAAAAATCGTTTTCAATTTTCGGGTGTTGTATACAAAGCCTGCTCATGCCTACTTCCCACTGCGTCAACACTTAATTCTCAAAGACGATCCTCATACAAGCTACCATGTTCAATTCTCTCGGTTCTTCTGTCTTCCCTGTTATCCACAAATTTCTTGGCTGAGGTACATAGACCCTCCAAACTCAATTCGTCCTCTCACGATTAGATACCGCGCTATATATCCCACCCAATTTCAACCACATATCCGGTTCTCAGCCTTGTTACATGAAGAATATGTATTATTACTCTAGTGATTTCTGCACATATAGTAGTTGTTTAATCCTTGTACTCCAGGGTAGTATGACATCAGGCGTGTGTGGTGTCAATCGACCGAGAAAGCGATATTCATCCACGATTTCTTCTCAGCCAGAACTTTCATAGACTGTATATCCTCTCGACCAGGATTCCAATGGCGCAGGCATACCTCACGCAGCAGCGCAGTCTCAGCTCGATTTTTAAAGCTCCGTGACCAGATCATAGCCGTCAGTGCCTGGGGGCTCTTGGACCGGCCACTGAGTGCGAGGACTTCCAGCTTTGGCATGTCGAGAAATGGCCTAAAATCTTCTCGTACCCTCAAGCCTTCTACCAGCCAATCCAATCTATCTGTGCAGCCAACTTCTAGCTCGACGAGTTCCTTGATGCAAAAACTTGATGCAGACTCCATGACGTGGATAAAGCCAGATTCAAGGAGGCCAGTCAGGCTCAGCTTCTTGAATCGAGGATATTGGCACCTTTTTAATAGGTCACGGATCCTGTGAGATAGAGGTATATGGGTCGTTGGATCGAAATGTATGTATCGAGCATCGTGCGGCAGGACGCCGATCGTAAGCGCCTCAATTGCGGGCATCGTGAGGTGATGCAGCAACGGCATGACGCAGCAATCGCCCGTTAGGGTGAAAGCTTTGATCCAAGGGAAAAGCAAAGGATGTACCCCTCGTTCAGGGATTTGATTTGGAGGCAAATGCGCCGGGTAGCGGGCGTTCGGGAGATGCAGCTCCTCGAGGTACGTGCAAAAGGGCAGAAGCAGATCATTGGCCAAGACGATGTCGACATGTGGAATATTGAGGGCATTAAGTTTCTTCCATGGGAGGCTGCCCATGCGTCTTCTTCTAATCAGTGTTATAAATGCATGTTCCGGTTCCCAGACCACTGTCCTTAGTTCAGGCGAGTCATGTATGACTTCCCATAGGCGCTCCGAGGACCTGCCATGGTCACACCAGTTAGGGCAAGTGGGATGTCGTATGAGTGCTGCAAATTCCAAAACTTTGAAACAATTCGAGGGCAGGCTCTGCAGTGAGTTGGGGAGGCTACGCGACAGACAGAGGCGAAGTTCTTTCCAGCGGTGTACTTGCGTTGCTAGAAAGTCCAGAGCTCTAAGCTGCCCTGCGTCCCATGGTTGGTAGGCATCTTTTTGAATTACATCGCTTTCGATCCAAATGGTGAGAGGGTGAGTTGGTCCTGAACGCTTTAGCCAAAGGTCCATGAGGTGTGCATGGTTCAGGTGGTCAGTACAGCGCATCCTAATCGTCGACCAGAATTGTGGTGTGCTGTTGATTAGCTCGCTCCAGTACCCGCAGACTTGGGCCAAGTCGACAGGGTCTATAGATCCCGGAGCAAATGAAAGTCGTTCATCTTTTGACCAACGATGATGGCTGCTATAAAACATCTTGTCTGTATCGGTCTCTAAGGGGTTTGCATCGGACTGGACAGCACAGAATAGAATTTTGATCAGCACTTCGTCTGGAAGGATGCTTATTGCGCTAGGTAAACGTTGAGGCGTAGCGGGCCTGAGTTCTTCCTTGAGGCCAGGAAATGCACCTGGCATGGAAGCGAACTGTTCCTAATTGGTATGAGCGATTGGAGAGGCAACTGCTGAGATTACGCACGGTGTCAGGGGAAGCCATCATAGGCGGGTAAAAGATTCGGGTGGGCTTGTAATCAGGTTTGCAAGAGTTGAAAGGGCAAGCTGGAGATTCAGAGATTACTAGAAACAAGAAGATATCTTATATACATATTTTTTTGATAACAGAACAGTGGGAGGCATAGCGATGACCACAGCTTTTGTTGCAGAGACAAGGAAGCTGTCAAAGATGGCTCAAAGGCAACAAGAACTAAACAAAAAGAGAGGCACCCACCTGATACCTCTGGTTTGTCCTGCCTATCGAGTGTACAAGACGCGTGGTCTACTTATTGTGTAGAGGCACAAGAGCGAACCAACACGGAGCTTTAAAACACACAAAACTCGATCATGATTGAGTTTTTTGTCCTCCAAAAGATGCATTAGTCGGATACGCCCTCGCAATAATGTAGTAAGGTATGGCGAATCTCGGTAAGTAAAGGAGGTAGTGTGAAGCGAATATCTCGAGAATGTCACAGTTAGGTATACGTATCACCGAAACACGTAACGTCGGAGATCATCATGAGAGCATACTACGAACGAAGAGCGCTATATCGGGGTCGTGGTATGGGGGTCGTAAGGGTGGTAACGGCTTGTAAGAGATGGCGGAGTATCGGATGATCGTATATACGAACTGTATGCGGATGGTAGAGTGAAAGCGAAGTCCAGAGAGAGATAGGAAAGAGAGAAGGAAGAGTCTGATTAAATGAAAAGAAACAAAACTGACAACGATAGAAAAGTCTAGTTCGTGTACTATAACTAAGCGGGATATCGAGGGTGTGTTGAGGAACGCGAGGGAGTTGGTGTCGTAAGAGTTTTGTGTTTGTGTCTTGTGTCTTGCATCTTGCACTTGGTCCTATCCAAATCCAATTCATAACTGATCATCTATCCCCATTGTACCCAGCCTGAGGTGGTGCCGCCCCCGGTGGCAATGCGAACACCTGAGAATTTCGGGAGTACCTGTTCGTATTAGCTGCAGGCAGTGGTGCTTGGGAATTAGGTCTCTGTCTTGCTTGCCGTGAGACTCGCCGCACGCCTTCAGGCCCTGGGACTGGCCCAGCGTCCGTCAGGCGGACACCACGGCCATAAGATGCACGATTGTTGGGGTTGACACCCGCATTCGGGCTCATGGCTTCATCGCTGGTGTAGTCTGGACTCCATGGTTGCTGCGGGTATTCGTCATACGAAATGGACACGGGAGAAGTAACGGTAGCGCGGAAGGGATTCTGCGCGTCGGGTTGCGGGGAATTCAAAAATATGGGAGAGACAAGGCGCTGCTGTGACGAAGTACCTCCGGACTCTATTGAAACTTGGTCGTTTGAATATGAGTGATGTGGGCTTGGGATCAGCCGATTGTGCGCTGCTGAGGAGCCAGAGTCGGAGACGTCCTCGCTCGTTCGTGACATACCGACTGAGGAAGTCGACGACATCAGTGGGCGGTTGACAGAAAGAGGTGCAGGGAGCATAAGCAGCGCAGCTGAATCATGCCGTGGACGAGGGGCGCTTTGGTATGAGGTATCCACGGTGCTGCTATCGTTGTATCCCGCTGTCTGCGGATGTGTGACATCCGATGTAGACGCGATGGAATATCGATTACTACTATCCCTGTAGGCTATAAGCTCCTGTTATGTCAAAGAGGAAAATGCAACGTACTTCTTCTCATTATAATACGCTGAATCCCTCGACTGCGTCCCATTCTTCCACCTGCGATCCCTCTCAAACTCAGCCCACCTCTTCATCACAATATGCGTTGAATCAAACTCTCCCTCCTTATCACCCGTGTCCGTCTTATCCGCTCCCTCGACCTTCCTCGTCTGACCCCATGAGAAATCGTCAAAGTGCCAAAACGCATACGCCGGCAGGATTCCGTTCCAGATTGGGAGTGAGAGAAGGTACACTAGCATCCACCCGACATACGCGATCTTGCGCGAGGTGACGACGATGAGGAGACCGGGGAGACCGAGGACGATAGCAAGAAGAATAAGCGGAATAGTAGTGTTAGGTCCGCCAGGAATGATGGAGGAGATGATGAGGTACAGCGTGAATGCGATAGCTGCGGGAAGGACGAGTGTTCCTGCAAGTTCCATACCCACGACAAACTGCATTGAGAAGCAGAACGTGCCGCACAGGTCACGCACTAGGACGAGTTCCGCGAGGTTGTGGATAGTCGAATTGATCCAGCGACGGCGCTGAGATAGAAGAACGCGGAATGTGTCCGGTACGACGGTCTTGCAAACGGCTTGTGGGCAGAACATGTTTTTGCGTTTCGGGAAGGTCTTCAGTAGGAGTGTGGTGAGGTACCGATCTTCACCAAGGAGGAGAAGATTCTTCTTGTGCAGCGTATCAACGACGTTCTCGGAGTAGTGCTCGACAATGTCGGGATTGGCGAGGATAGGGACCCAGTAGCCGGAATCGCCTTTAGGGGCTTTGACGCGATACATGCTGAAGCAACCAGGAAGACAGGTAACACCACCGAACATCGACTCGAAAGCCTTCGTCATGTGGTGGGAGATGTAATATTCGAAGACTGCACAAAAACGCGATGCCTTGAATAATGAAAAAGATATTGAAAAGACGGTCCACTCACCTTGCATCATCGTGACGAAGGTCTCCGCCTTATTAGCAATTTTCGTTTCCCCACAAAGTCCCATGATTTCCTCATCATGCACCATACAACTAACCATCCTCGTCAAGGAATCCGGGAAGACCTTCGTATCCGCATCCACACATAATATGAGCTCATACCGATCTGGGCTTACACCTGTAACCCTCCAAACCGAATTGAAGAATTCGTACTCAAACGTCGTCATCCGCTCATCGAACATGACCTTCTGCAAGAACGCCATGAGTACAATCTGGCTGTCGCGTTTTCCGCGGTTGCCTGGCTTGGCATCCGTCGCCTCTAGAGGGTTGCCGCATTTCGCCACAAGCACGATCGGGACG